GGGTACTCCCTAGTATAACACAGCCTTTTCCCATTCAGCATTTTTCATGTGAACAGTTTTAAAGATACCAACCATACAGTGTTATCAAGGATACATTAATCATGCTGTGCAGCTACCACTCATAATAGTTGCTTATCTTGTCTTAATTAAGCATGTAGTTGATTTGTTGTCTCTTTAATCCATTATTGTAACTTGTCATTTATTTATGTGTGGGATATATTATATATTTATTTGTACATGCAAATATTGTATATTTTATCAACTAATATTTGAAACAAGTATCAATTTCTAGAGAAAAATGTATCTTACTAGAAGTAGTTTCCACTACCTCTGTCAGTTTGTAGTACTGTAGTGGCTTGTATGTTGTGTGATGCTTATAGCAATGCCACTAATTTCTCACATGCCGGCAGGGTTACCAAAAGTGAACATGTTTCAACAGAACTTCCAGACTGAGAACAGACTACGAAGAAGGAATAGGCTGTCCTGCACTTTGGCAGAATCAACTACTGAAATCCCTAAAGATAGCACCAAAACATCCTCAGTTTCTGAAATCTTAATGAATAGAAGCAGAACATTGTCAAAGATAGTGCCAAAACATGAGCCCCGCCGGTAAGATGGCACTCAAAATATGACAGAGGAAGAACTTCCCTCTCAGAGTAGAGCTGACCATAATGACACAAATGGAGTAAAGGCTCCGAGATCTTCATTTGCTGATGGGGCAAGGATTCAGAATGAGAAGGAACAGCTGCAGATGTCGACTAATAATTGGACTTGGAATGTATGGCATATGAAGCTAGGGAAATTGGACATCCTTAAAAATGAAATGGAACCCATATATATCACTGACATGGACTAGTATTGGCCATTTTGAGTCAGAAAAAATATATGGTTCACGTGCCGGAATGACAGTCAAGAGGAATGTCATTGCTTTCACCATCGAAAAGGACATTTCAAGATCTCTCTTGAAGAACAAAGCTGCTTATTGTAAGATAATGTCTATTCTTATTCAGGGAAATCCAATCAATACAACTATTATTCTTATCCAGGGAAACCCAATCAATACAACTATTATTGAAAATCTAGGAAAACTAAATCACCAGACTTCTTTGAAAACAAAAATGTAAAGTTCACCGTAGTAATTATGTGGTGTACATAGATACTAACAACTGTATATTAGGTACGCGTAACCCAAAAAAGCCACATTTGCAGTGAGGTGAGCTTTTGCTCTTTTTTATAGAGCATATGAAACATCTAAAGCTAGTGCTTAAGAAATTAAACTAAAGCTAGTGCTTAAGAAATTAAGGAATTCTACCAATGTCTTCAGGCTGAAATTGATCAAACATGCAATAAGGATGCATTGGTAACTATTTGTGATTGGAATGCAAAAATTGGAAACAGGAAAAAACATTAGTTGGAAAATTTGGTCTTGATAGAAATGAAGCTGGAAATCACGATAGAATTCTAAAAGGCCGACTTTCTCATAGCAAATACCTTTTTTCAACTGTACACTGGCCACTGTACAGATGACTCTTGCCTGATGGAGTTCACAGAAATCAAGTTGACTACCTCTGTGGGAAGAGGCGATGGAGAAGCTCAGTATCAGGCTCTGGTCTGACTGTGGAACAGACCACCAATTACTCATGTAAATTCCGGTTGAAGCTGAAGAAAATGAGAACGTGTCCACAAGAACCAAAGTAGGACCATGAGTCTATCCCACCTGTATTGTGAGAACATCTCGAGAACAGGAGGACATCAAAAATACGTATTCATAAAGAAAGCAACAACAAAAATAGATCATTAAAAAGACAGGAAAGGAAGAAAAGATCAAAGTGGACATAGAAGAGATTGTAGAGTAGCTAAGGCAAATGGAAGAAATGAATTAGCTAGAGAAGTGAACAGAAAAATTCTAAGGGCATTCTGAGAAGACAAGTAAAATAAAATAGTGAAATGTGCACAGCCCTACAGTTAAAAAACCAAAAAGGAATAATAAGCTTAGTATATCTTAAACTAAAATAAGTCATGAAAAAAATGCAGACCTCGCGTTGGAATATTGGAAGATTCTATGGGTAAAATAGTGGATGATGCCGGAAGCATCAAAATAAGATGGAAAAATACCCAGAGTCACTACCAGAAAGATTAGTCAACATTCAACCATTTCAAGCGGTAGCATACGAATGAGAACCAGTGCCACAGATGGAAGAAGTCCAAGCTGCCCTGAAAGCATTAGCCAAAAACAAGGATCTAAGAATTGAAGGAATACCAACTGAAATATTTCAACAAGCTAAGGAAGCACTGGAAACAACATCTATGCCAAGAAATTTGGAAGACAGCTGCTTGGCCAACTGAATGGGAAAGACCCATATTGTACCCATTCCAAAGAAAGGTGACCCAACATTATGCAAATTACAGGTCCTTTCTGTGCTACCCAGAGAAGGGTCCGTAAGGTGTTGTCCTGGTCCCTGTCGTAACTGAAAAAGGTAACTTTCACAATGTCCAGATTCCTTGATGTCCTGCAGCTGAAGGAGGATGTCCTCAAATTCCTTGCCAAAGGAACCCATTTACATGGCACCAACCTTGACTTCCAGATGGAATGAATGGTGCATCTACAAAAGGAAAAGTGATGGCATCTCCATCATCAACCTGAAGAGGACCAGGGAGGAGCTCCTGTTGGCAGCTTGAGCCATTGTTGCCATTGAAACCTTGCTCCAGGAATACCGGCTGCGCCCACTGGAACTTCTCCAGTTGCTGGGCGCTGTAGCCCAGGATCCTTCACTAACCAAATCCAGGCAGCCTTATTGGAGCCACAGCTTCTAGTGGTTACTGACCCCAGAGATTACTTGCCCACCATTGCTCTGTGTGACACAGATCTTCCTCTGCGCTACATGGACCTTGCCATCCCATTTAACAGCATGGGCGCTCACTCGGTGGGCCTGTTGTGGTGGATGCTGACCCAAGAAGTTCTGCGTATTCGGGACACCATCTTCCAGGAGCTTGACCATGCCTGACCTTTACTTCTATAGAGACCCAGAAGAGATTGAAAATGGAAGAGCAGGCCACTGCTGCAAAGGCTGTGACTTGGGAAGGGTTTCAGGGTGAATGGACTGCTCCCGCTCCTGAGTTTACTGCAGCTCAGCCCGAGGGGGTCGACTGGTCTGCAGGTGTGCAAGTACCCTCAGTGCCGATCCAGGAGTTCCCACTGAAGGCCAGAGTGCCCAGCCAGCCACTGAAGACTGGTTTGCAGCCCCCACAGTTCAACAGCTCAGGCCACTGAGTGGGTAGGAAGAACCCCTGAGCAGTCTTAAGCTGTTGTACCGTGGACATCTGAAAAATGGAATTTGGTTGCTGGAAACTAAAAACCAATTTCTAAAAAAAAAAAATGTACAAATTATAGAACAATGTCATTGATATTATATGCAAGTAAAATTTTGCTGACGATCATCCAGCAATGGCATGAGTATATTGAGAGGGAGCTGCCAGAGATTCGGGCTGGATTCAAAAGAGGACATGTAACAAGGGATATAATTTCTGACGTCAGCTGAATCTTGGCTGAAAGCAGAAAATACCAGAAAGATTTTTACTTGTATTTCATTGACTATGCAATTGACGGTGTGGGTCATAACAAACTATGGACACAAGGGAAGTGGGAGCACTCAAACTGATTGTGATTATGTGTATACAACTCTGTTTAAAAGTGACTTTTAACAATGGCAGTATATGATTTGTGAATTTTATATCAATAAAACTATGAAGATAAAAATACCCGTGGGTAGCCTTGAAAAGAATGGGAATTCCACACTTCATTATGCTCATGAAGGAGCTGTGCATGGACCGAGAGGCAGCTGTTTAAACAGAAAAGGGAAATGCTGCATCCTCTCACCATACTTATTCAGTCTGCATGCTGAGCAAATCATCAGAGAAGCTGGATTATATGAGGAAGAATGTTGGCATCAGGACTGGAGAAAGACTTACTAACAACCTAAGTTATGCAGATGGTACAACCTTGATCGAGGATTACAGCTTTCAGTATGGATTACAACTAATGTAAAGAAAAAACAAAGCTTCACAACTGAACCAATGGGTAACATCATGCTAAACAGGAAAGATTGAAGTTGCCAAGGAGTTCATCTTGCTTGGATCCACAATCAGTGTTCATGGAAGCAATAGTCGAGTTTAAATGACACATTGCATCAGGTAAATCTGCACAGCCCAAGTAAGGCGTTGAGAAGCAAGGATGTTTTGAGGTCTTAGGTGGGCCCAATTCTGATAGTGTCTATTAGTATGATAAAAAGATTTTTTTGTTGTTGTTTTAGGAAATAAACAGCATCTAAACAAATGGTCCTTGATGTATCTCTCATTATTCTCTTCAACAGGGAAATTTGGGAACCTTTTTTGTTACCAATGTGAGAATCGTGTGGCATGCCAATATGAATGACAGTTTTAATGTCAGTATACCGTACCTGCAAATTGTAAGTACAGCCATTTGGTGGCCTTATTTTAATGTAGAGTAAATCATTTCTGTTCAGCAGTTAACAGATTAGATGAGTTCACTCTCTTCCTTTCGAAGTGGCTGCAGTTATTAGGTGAGATCAAATGTGACCATTTCACTAACGTCTCAATTACATCTATATTCAAGTGAAGTGACACCATTATCAATTTTAGATTAAGAGAAAAATATGCTGAATTCTGAAATTTTCACTAATTAGATTCCATTCAAAGGACTTTAGCTGCTAACATTTTCCACAGCCTTTTCTTTCCATCACGCAAGTATGTCGTGGCCCCTTGGGATGGCTTTAACACACTGACTCACCCAGTTTATCTTGGCTCTCTTGCCACTTTCTGCTCCTAAACTGTTTAAAGGCAGAATAAATTATTAGTGTTGTGAATGTATTGTAAGCAGGATTCATACTACAATTTTGCTTTTTGAAAAGGAATCCAGGTGATTTATTGTGATAATACTTTTAGTGTAAGTTCAATTAAGGCTAATAAAATCTAGGATAAGAACTGAGACTGGTTGTTTGTGCCGTTGCTGCTGCTGTAATAAGTATGTGATGCAGGGAAATGAAAAGTAAATTCCAGTAAACTGAAGTATTTAATTAAATGTAAGGGGCTACTTATAGGAGCCCTCGTGCATAATTAGTGTGTTGGGCTGCTAACCACAATGTCAGCAGTTCTAATCCACGAGCTGCTCCATGGGAGAAAAATGAGCCTTTACAGCCTTAGAAACCCAGAGGCAGTTCTGCACTGTCCTCTAGGGCCCTTAGGGTGAGAATTGATGTTATGATAGTAAGTTTGCAGTTTTTTTCAGTGTAAAATATAACATAAAAATGGTTCATCAAAATTCTGTGAAGTTATAAGATAATTGCTATTTTTGTAGGGCATAAGTAGTTTTAAGACTAAGCTGTGTAATCAATAACTATTTATTGAGTAGATTTAATGTTTTCAATATCTGGAAAAATGTGTTTTTAAATACAATTCTGGGATCAGGAGGCAAATTTCTTTGCTTACTGTTCTTAAGTCCATCTTTTGCTAAATTATTTGATTTCTGATTTATTATTTAAAATGTAATCGTTCATTTTCCAAATAGTGAGCACCTGCTGTGTACTAAGTGCTAGAGCTAACAATCATGAAAATCATCAGCCGGTGCATAGTAGTGGCCATCCAGAGTGTTCAGTCTTCTCGGTAAAAAGCACGTGAATCAGACAATCATAGACTCTGACAGGACAAAGGTGATTTTCTGTTTAATGTGCTGCTTCTTGAATGCTGATTTCTACACGTGTAACAAACTAAAAATATTTAGGAATTTGTAATCCAGACTGGAAAGATCTAACAAGCAGAGTGTACATGGTGGTTTCATAAATTTGTGTATGTAATATTAATTGCTTTTTATATTGCATTTATGCATGTAATTACTGAATAATAAACCACACAGTGTTTTCTGTTCTTTAAACAAGGTGGGGTTTGTTTGTTTCTTAAGAATTGTTGGTAAGGGCCGAAGAGTCGATTCTGACTCAGAGTGACCCCATGTGCAGAAGGGAACATTGCCCGGTCCTGCACCTTCCTCACCTTAGAAACCCAAAGACGCAGTTCTGCTATGTCCTCTAAGGCCCTTATGGTGAGACTTGCAACGCTTCAGCCTGTTGTTGCCACCCTAGTGTCAGTCCGTCTTACTAGGGTCTCCCTTTTTTCACTGACCCTCTAGCATGCGTGATGCCCTTCTTCAGGGACTCGTCCCTTAAGAGAACATGACCAAAGTACGTGAGCTAAAGTCTCACCATCCTTGCTTCTAAGGAGCTTTCTGGCTAAAACTGGCCTCTGGAATGAATTCATCCTGGCCCGACAACAAGCCATCTGATACCAACATAGTCTGTCACTGCCACAGTCATGTTTCTAACTTCGGCTCGAGGACACAGCCATTGCTTTGACCCCACTCATGTAGCTATGTATCTATTCTGCTGTTTTCTACCCCAGTCCGCCTGGTTAGATTGTGCTAATGCTGTGGTTCTTTTCTGGCCATGTGTATACTCCTAGAGAGAGGTGAAGAAATCGAGAAGGAAGACCAGGTTTTTATAATAATTGTCAGTAAAGCCTTTACCGCTCGCTCTTCTCTCTCCCTCCGACCCTCACACCTAATTTCTCTCCATTTCTAATGCCTGTCTGTCTAGACGTGTGGTATGACCTCCCCTGCCACCCATTGCCCTTTTCTGAGCCTGGTCTGCTAGTCGTAGTGTTAGACACTGCGTGGTTCCCCCGTACTCTGTCAGCAAGTACGCTTTATGTCACTTCCTATCTGCCCTGTACCTGCCTTTGTGCCCCTCCCTCCTCCTGGTGTCCATCTCCTTCAGGTTGCATTGATCTTATGACATTAAGCATATTTGGTCTTCCCCAGTCTTAACTGATATGAAAATTTGAGAAGTCAAAAAAATGTGGGTACATAATTACCTTAATGTTATGTTGTTGGTATACTAGAAAAAGTGAACCACTTTGCACTCTGGAAGTAAAGGGAAAATATATATATATATACACATTACCTTTATGTTGGATCATTGGTATAGCAGAAAAAATACATGATATTTGTACTTGAAGTGCTTAATTATGAATAGAATTGACTTTTTTGTAGTTATATATCAGCTTTTAGGAGTTCTATTATGATTTTTATCCTTAAAATTAGCCAAAAATGATGGAAAGAATAACAGTGTTCATTAAAAAAAAAAGGACTATAGGTACTTGAAGAACTTAGCCACCTATATAATGATGTGAGACATGGAAGGCACAAGTGACCCTTCAAAACTAGCCCAGCCCTAGGAGTCACAAAAGATGCTTTTAACTAATTAGTGCCATTTAAAATATCCAGATAAGTCGTGGACTCTCCGGAACTGGGGGCAGGGGAGTTGTCCAGAGTACATGGGTCAGAATTTTGTAGTATTTTAGAGCTGGCTGCTCCTTTTGTATTACAGTCTGCCACCCGGTTTCCGTGTGTCTTCATCCACTTACTGCTGTGGGAGGGGAATGAAGGGAGAAGGGAGAAGTCTGTTCTTTTAAACAGTTACTGTGTGAATGGTTACACTCTTACACCAAACAGTCACTGCTACCAGCCAACCAAACTTTGCCTGTGTTCTCTCTTGTTTTACATCTAGCGCTCAATAAAGATCAGAGATTCAAAATTTGGGTTAGCTCTTGTCATAGAAAGCTCTCAGCAGGTAAGCTAAGTTACTTTTTTTCAGTCTTTGGGTGATCATTAAACTATATGATGGTCTAGATTTTTAGTTTTATATAATAATAACTAGTTTGCAATCAAGAAGAATATTAGCTATAATATAATATTGTTATCTGAAGGATTTGAAGTCATTACAGTATTGCCCCCAAAGGAGGAATCCTTTGCTTATGGTTGCTCCTCAATAGATGATGTTATCATTAATATTATGGTGATCATTATTTTTTTATTAATAATGGCATTAAGTCAGTAAGGAACCCTGGTGGCACAGTAAAGTGCCAAGCTGCCAACCAATAGTCAGTGGTTCAAACCTAGCTGCCCACAGGGGAAAGGTGAGGCTGTAGGCTTCAGGAGAGATTTACAGCCTTAGAAAGCCTATGGGGCAGTTAGTTCTACTCTGTCTTACAGGGTCCTTACAGCTCGGCAGCAGTGGGTATGGGTATAAAGTCACTGTATCATTGGCTTCCCATGCATTATCTTATTCTTTATACAACTCTTTGACACATTTACTGTATTATTCCCATTGTACAGTTAGGAAAACTTAGAAGGGCTAGGAATCTTGGCTATGATCTCAAAGTTAGAAAGTGGTGGGCCCACTTTGTTACCTGGTCTGACTCATTCCCAAAACTGCTTTTGAGAAATGCAGAGAGGTAGACTTAAACACATACTTGTTTGAGATTTTATTCTCATACGCATAGGTGACTATCCTTTAACTACTATGCCAAATTTTTGTAAAAATATATTTAGATGTAACATTGATTTAGATATGAAATATTTCTAAATGTGAAGACAATTGTTTGCTCACTCCTTTTCTGGCCTATAGAGTAGGAGCAGCCATTTTCTGAGTACTACGTATGTGCCAGGAACTGTATCCAGTATCAGACATAAGTGATTTAATTCAATTTAATAAGCATTTTATGATTAGAAGATTGAGGCGTTAAAAGATTACGGCAAGTACATTTCCCAGCATCATGCTGCAAATTAGAGAAATAGAAGCTGAACTCAAGAAGAAAAAAAAAAGTTGAACTCAAAATCATCTGCTCTAGCCCAAAGCATCTGCTCCCCTTTTCCAATATGTGCCCCCAGTCTTGTTTCTGCCTCGAGGACGAGACAGAAGGCTGCCTTCTCCAGCGGCCTATTGTGGACAAGTTTCTTTCCTAATCCCCGAGCAGATAGCTTTTGGTTGTTGTGTATCTCCTTTTAATGGAGGCCCATACCTTTTCTTCAAGGCAAGAAAAACTTAGTTCATGCGGTCCTCACAACCTACAGTGTTTTGTTTTGTTTTTAAATCTTACAAGATCAGCTTAGATACAATTGGAATGATAACCTGGATATAATCCAGAATCGTTCCTCTGGATTAAGTGAAACCATTGGCTAATTGTTCTCGGAAGTGGAGGCTGTGGCTAGCGGAGTTTCATTGTACTCCTCTATTTTTGTTTGTTTGGCATTTTCCATAATAAAACATTTTAATTTAAAAGATGACCTTACATACTGTATTTTAAACTAAGAGCTATTGTTTATTATACACTGTAAATGCTGTTCTTTAGGCTTGTTTTATGCGTGCGTTTTATTCTTTTCTTATCTTGCAGAGTGGAGGTTATGTTCTTGGCTTCAAAATAGATCCTGTAGAAAAACTGCAAGAATCAGTTAAGGAAATTAATTCCCTTCACAAAGTCTATTCTGCCAGTCCTATATTTGGAGTGGATTATGAGATGGAAGAGAAGGTACATTTGTTCAGTATGTGAAATAAAGAGTTTGCTGACTTGTTTTTACACAAATCTGTCAAGTTCACATCTAAATACTCTGTATACAATTTACTTTTAAACTGTTTTCATCAACGTGAAAAACAAACCCTGCTCAGTAAGCATGGCCTCCACACTGTCACTGATTATACCTGCCACCTCTCCCCTGGCCAGTTGCTTCATCATCCATTCCTGCCCTGGATCCTTGCCCAGCTAGGTTAGACGCCTACCCAGATAAGTCTCCTAACTTCATTGCTCAAGTTAGTCTTGATAGAAAAATATAAATTATGAAATGATTTTTTTCTAAGATTTTATTAACTTTAAGAAAATTCTTAAAGTTTCGTTTCTTAATTAAAGAAAATTCTCAAAGTGTATTTTCCTAACATGGTTTAATTAATATTGTATCTCTGATGCATTTTTACATGTGTTAATTTTCAGCCACAGCCCCTTGAAGCTCTGACAGTTGAACAAGTTCAAGATGATGTAGAAATAGATTCCGATAACCACACAGACGCCTTTGTGGTGAGCATCACAGAGCAGGGCTGTTGACTTTCGTAGGACTTTTATCTGAGTCGTGTTTAATTAGATAATAAGTCTGTAAAACACCAGAACTTGGGGCTCTCATAAATATAAGTTGTGTTTTGTTTTCCTCAGTGAGGGACTTTTTTATGTAATACTTTTCACTTACTAATCTGGGAAGTGGTTTTAGAACACAATTATTCAGAAGATATCAGAGCTCTGAAAATTTTTTTCCAACTTTATAATACTGAAACATTAAAAATTGTAGCTAGATTAACCTATCTTATTCACATTTTCCATAATAAATCTTTTTATATATATAATAAATCTTTATAGGTAATTTTAAAGGAAGGATATGCTTTCAACAGTATACTCTCCTGTTTCCAAATTAATATTCTTTAATTCATAACCAAAAATAATAATAATAAGTGTTTTCCCCATACTTTGGTCTTTGAATCTAACCAGAAAGCCTTTCTGGAAAAAAAATACTTTGCAACAAAGGCGTGAAATTAGTATGAAAAATCTTAGTGACAGATGATTTCTACCTCCAATGTGTGCATTTGTTGGGACAGTTGGGAACTGGTTGGTTGTTATAGAATTTGTTGGGGTTTTGAGAGCCTCGTCTTCTAAACCAAGGAAAAGAGAGGTTACAGCTTCTAAGTCATTCTAATTTGCTTCCTTTCAAGTCAGCAATACTAGTTACATATTAATTACAAAGCACAGTTTTAGAGCTTAAAACATAACTCAATTATAAGGATCTACATATAACCTCCTCCCTGGAGGACGGACAGCAAAGAAGTAGGTGAAGGGAGACGTTGGATGGCATAAGATTGGACAAAATAATAATTTAAAATTATCTAGGGTTCATGAGAGAGGGACGAGTGGGGAAGGAGGGGCAAATGAAGAGCTGATACCATGGGCTTAAGTAGAAAGCAAATGTTTTGAGAATGATGAGGGTAACAACTGTACAAATGTGCTTGACATGCAATGGATGGATGTATGCATTGTGATAAGAGTTGTAAGAGCCCCCAATAAAATGATTTTAAAAACAAACAAACTTGTAGACATTAGTAATGATTGTCCAAAGTGAATTGTGCTACCAGAATTGTAGAAATAGTGAGAAAAAATTATTAGATACACAATAAAAGAACATGAAATATATTCAGTTACCTTTAGCCCACTGATCTAGTATATCATATGTTGATATTTTAACATGTGTATAGTATTATATGTTGTGTTTATTTGTTTTTGTTTTTTTCTCACATAGGCTTATTTTGCTGATGGGAATAAGGTAAGGACCACACTGATAGTATATGAAATTTTTTTTCTATATTTTCACATTTAGTATTCACAAACTTATGTGAAACCTATTTTTTGTTTTGTTTTGTTTTTCTTCTTCCTTGCCCTTCTTCTCTATTCCCATCTCATCCTCTTTACCTCCCTCAAAGCAACAAGATCGTGAACCAGTATTTTCAGAAGAACTGGGGCTTGCAATAGAGAAATTGAAGGATGGATTCACCCTACAGGGACTTTGGGAAGTAATGAGTTGATCTTGAGTTGGACTGGATTTCTTTTTAAAGATATCTCAAAATTAAAGATAACTAATTGCCTGGTTTAAGGCACAGAATAGTTTTTACATTTACAGAACAAGCTTTAAGAAAGAATTTCTTAATCATTAAGGGAAAACTAATGTAACTGCCAGGCTTTTTTAAAATTTATTTTAAAATGTAATTGAATTGTATCTAGTTTGTAAAGATGTTTATTTTGTAATAATACTTGTAAACTATGAGTTTTCAAATACTAAATGACTTTCATGTTGTATTTAATAAAGAACTTATGCAGCACCATTTAATGTTTGAAAGTATTATTTTTAAGAATAGCTTGTTCCTGTGGAACAATCAAATGACTGCTCTCCTGTTAATAAAGTTTAGTTTAAGTATGTTATTGAAATGTGCTACGCAAGTAGGACGAAGCAACTGAGCATCACTAATAAAAACTGACCCTTAAGCCTGTCATTAGGGGGACCATTTTTATATAAACTAAAAATGTTAGCCACTGACATACAAAAGAGCTTCCAAAAAGTCCATGGAAAATTGAATGAGAAGATAATGAAAATTTTCCATGAACTTTTTGAAGTCCCCAAATGTCTACCAATCCCTTTGTGAAGTTTTGGGCACTACAAAGTGGCTTCAAAATATTTGTGGAATAAAAGACACCAGGCTTATTGGTTGGATAGACAAGTGCGACCCCCAAGACTATGGCCCTTAGTCACCCTTCAGGTCTGTAATGGAACTCACCCCCATGTTCCAGTGATGAAGCATTTAAGATCCCAAGGACAGCATTTACCCAAGGACAAAGTGCAGAAGGAAAGGAGAAGGAATGTCAACAGAAAACGTGGGGGAAAGTAGGATAAGTCATGGTCCATGATGGAGGGGATTGCAATGGATGAATTGAAACAAAATGTATATGAATTATTGAGTGTCAGACTGATGATCTGCTCTGTAGACTTTCACCTAATTCATAATAAAATTTATCTATTTTTTAAGTTTGTGAAAAAATTCCATTATCTGTCCATTTCACTTTTTTATCAACCTTGAAGCTCCCTCATATTTTGCGGTTCATTTATGTATAGTTTGGGCAATAACATTTATTATGTAAGGGGATTGTTTTATCTATTTATTGACTTTTTCCTTGTTTGTATTCATTCAAATCTCCCTGAACTTTTAAAAAGTAAGGTATTATTTGCTGATTTCTTAAGTTGGTGGCCCCTCTGAGATCAGTGTTTTTGCCACTGCTTAAGTTTAAAGCAGCTTTTGTACGGAATCTTTATCAAGTCAGTGAAATTAGCCAAATAAACCTCCTTTGTCAAAAGGGGAAGGAGTGGGTGTGTGAAAACATCTAAAATAAGATGCAACCAGATATACAAACACAGACACACAGTCCAACCCCTGGCTACAATGGGTTAAAAAAAACCCAGTGTACAAAGACACCAGACACTGGTTTCTTCATTCAAACAGAACAATTTCTGAGTTTTTAATGAAGGAAATTATAATACACAACTTACATGAGAAAAAATTTGTTGTTTGAGAAATGCATCCAAGTCAAAAATAACCTCTAGGACTACAAATATTCTATGCCAAGCAAAAGAATATAATAAAATTGCTAGCTACTTAGGACTCATCTGAAATGTCATACCATTTGCATCTGACTCATTAATCTTTTCAAATGTTAGATGTTACGTGTAGAGAGGAATGAGTCATTTATTGTTTAAACGGGGAGCAGCTGTCAGTTTTTCAGTGTGTTAAAGCCTTTAGTGGCATCTATAAATGGAAAAAGAGTCGATGAGCTCTTTCAGCTGTTTTAGCAGCTGACAGTACCATTGACTTCACTGTGATGTCAAGTAAAAGGGGAAAAAGAAGTTACTCATAGATAGAGATCTTAAAGTTTAAAACTCCCTAATCTGGGCACATTATGGACCACTCACTAGGTACCGCTTCTAGAACATTGAGCAAAACGGACTGAAAAAAAAACCCCAAACCTGTCTTTATAAAGCTTACGTTCTCGTGAGCAGTTACAAGAATACTAACCTTTACAGTGATAGTATGCCACAGTCCCACTGGCATCAGGAAATACGACAATCTGGTTATGTAACAAAATATTTTATGAAGAATTAAAACAATGCTTTGGTGGCCTAGTGGGTATAGTAATTACAAGGTCAGCAGTTCAAACCCATCAGCTACTCATGGGAGCAAACTGAGGCCGTCTCCTCTCTGCAAGAGTTACAGCCTTGGAAACCCAAAGAGGCTGTTTTACTACCTTATAGGGTCTCTGTCAGTGAATTATATTTATCTACATATAATAAAGGAGTCCTGGTGGTGCAGTGGTTAAAGCGCTGGGTGCTGACTGGACCGTTGACAGTTCACGTGTATTAGCTGCTCCTTAAGAGACTAGTACATGATTCTATTTATTGTTTTTTCTCATAAGGTTTGTTTTCCAAATTATTCAATGACACAACACTCCATTCTGACTGTGTAGTGATAAGGTTATATCTGTCCTATTTTTTTAACCATTAATGAAGGATAACTTTATCACAATATCTATAGTGATCATATTTTTTGGTGTGTGGGTGTTTTTTCCTTCCTCATTCTTAACTTTGAACACTGTCTTGTTTGCTGATTTCGTCTCAGGCCTTTATTTTCCTTTTCAACTACCACTTTAAAGCCTTTGAAAACTGGGTCTGAATCAATTGAATAAATCTGTCATTTCATTCGATGCCAATTAGGTTTTCTACTGGAGAATGAAGATAATTTAGAATGTCCTAGAAGATGACTCGTTTCTCTGCATTTACTATTTTCAGTTATGGAGTGTAATTATTTGAAAGGTTATTCAAGACTATAATTAGAGTCGATACCTCAGTCTTTATTAGTGCCCTGCTTTTAAAAGAAAACTATACATTCCTCAGTCTTAGGCAGAAAATTAAAATGTAATATTTACTGGAAGGAGATCGTGCTTATGAGAATTCAAATACACTCACCTCATATTCTTGACCTCTGCATCATTATTGAAAGAGCCAAGTGGCTTGCCAGACCAATTATAGAGGACTGACGCATGTTTTATGATTCAGCTTGTGATTAATTTTTTTTTAAGTTCCTTGGGGTAGCCTTTTATTAGCATGTCGTCTCCTGCATTACCTATTTCCAAACTCTCCTCTTCACTTACATGTCTTGTTTCTTATCTGTTTCCTTAGTGATTAAAAGTTCCAGTTGTCCTTTCAGTTTCTGACAGCTGCAAGAACAACTCTTCGTTCCAAACTAGCTCTCCTAAATTCCCGTTGTTCGGGTGGGTGTCTATATTTAGCCGGCGGGATTAAGTGGAAGGCTGGAAGCTGGGCAGAGCACCCCGATCTGCCTTTTGACAGCTAGACCTGTGTGTGTAAGGAGCTCAGTGTTCGCTTCCTCACCCAGGTCTCTCCCAAAATGGATTCCCAGCGGGAACTCGCAGAGGAACTGCGGCTTTACCAGTCCACCCTGCTGCAGGATGGGCTCAGAGATCTCCTGGATGAGAAAAAGTTCATCGATTGCACCCTGAAGGCAGGTGACAAGAGCCTCCCTTGCCACAGACTGATTCTGTCGGCCTGTAGCCCTTACTTCCGTGAGCATTTTCTATCCGACGTGGACGAGCAGAAGAAAAGGGAGGTGGTCCTGGACAACGTGGACCCTGCCACCCTGGACTTGATCATCCGGTACCTGTACTCCGCCAGCATCGATCTCAACGACGGCAACGTGCAGGATATCTTTGCGCTGGCCAGCCGCTTCCAGATCCCGTCGGTGTTCACCGTGTGTGTCTCCTACCTCCAGAAAAGACTCGCTCTTGGGAACTGCTTAGCCATCCTGAGACTGGGACTTCTCCTGGACTGCCCACGGCTGGCCATTTCTGCCCGGGAGTTTGTGTCTGACCACTTCCTTCAGATCTGCAAGGAAGAGGACTTCATGCAGCTTTCCGCGCAGGAGCTGATCTCGGTCCTGTCCAACGACAGCCTGAACGTAGAAAAGGAAGAAGCGGTGTTCGAGGCCGTGATGAGATGGGTGCGGACGGACAAAGAAAACAAGGTTAAGAACCTTAATGAGGTGTTTGATTGCATCCGCTTCCGCCTGATGTCCGAGAAGTATTTTAAAGAGCATGTGGAGAAAGATGATCTCATTAAAAGCAACCCCGACCTCCAGAAAAAAATCAAAGTTCTGAAAGATGCCTTTGCTGGGAAGCTCCCAGAACCGAGCAAAAATGCAGAGAAGACAGGGACTGGTGAAGTGAATGGGGACGTTGGCGATGAAGACCTACTTCCCGGTTACCTAAATGACATTCCCAGACACGGGATGTTTGTCAAAGACCTCATCCTGTTGGTGAACGACACAGCTGCAGTAGCTTATGATCCCACGGAGAACGAATGCTACCTTACCGCCCTGGCTGAGCAGATCCCCAGAAACCATTCCAGCGTCGTTACCCAACAAAACCAGGTGTATGTGGTAGGAGGGCTCTACGTAGACGAAGAAAATAAGGATCAACCTCTACAGTCTTACTTCTTCCAGGTAAGAAAACACTTTTTACAGAAACAGACGCATAAAGGGAAGGCTGGGAACCATTCATGGAGCCCATTTGTGAATTATTCCAGCTGCAGGCTTCTTATTCTAATCGATGCCTCATTCCTCTATCCCTCGTATTTGTACCACTGAGAAGACTGACAATGAACTATTTTAAGTCCATCAGTCTGGCTGCTTGTTAATACTTAATCAAATTTCAGGGGATGTTCAAATGTTTAAACGATGACTAGAGATTTTAAAAATATTATTTTACTCAAAAGGTGCACCGTGATCCTTCAAAGCCCGGTATTTCAGTAAAAGTTAAATTTAATCTTATACACACGACTGAAAAACAGGTTAAAAGTACTAAGTACAAAGACAAAGTACTTTATACATTACAGGGATATAGTTGATGGTCCTATTTCCCAGTCTCTCTCAACTAATGTGAAGTTCTTAGAAGTAGCCTTTCAGCTCTTATTTATGGTTACTACCTAAAAATTTTAAATGACAAGGATTTGTATGCATAGTCTACATGCTTTGGATAACTGTCTAGGAAAAATGCTCTCCATAAGTGTTATTAGTTTGAATTACATATATTTAGACATTTTATTTATTATATCATATTTGGACCAGAGTTGCTCTTAGAGAGTATTATAACTTAGCAATCTTTTTGGTGAAACTACAGAAGTTCCAAAGAAAACAAATTTTCCTCAACTCATAGACTCTTGGTAGTTTTATTTATTTATTTTTTTGAAGGGCGCGTCTTTCACATTATCAATGCATTATACTTCACCAGTTTACGAAGGAATAAATGACAAACCTTATCTTTATTAATGCCAGATTCAGTACTTTGTAGGTTACAACTAGCTCAAAGACTTTGTTTAGGTCACAGCTAATCATGGCCTGTGGTTTATGAGCACTTGAGTGTTGGAATGGACAAAGATAAGTAAGGGTAGACGGTCATATCACAGTCGCAGTAGCCTCTGAGTGTGTGTATGGCATACTGTGCACTCATAGAATTCTACCTTTAATTAGCTTTTCCTAATCTCAAAACATGCAGGTATACATGTTAATTGTGATTCTTAATTTTCAAAAAATAAATAAGAAACTGTCCTCCTAGTGATTTGAGTGTAGACCAGAATATTTGCTGAACTTTAATTTTAAAATCAGATATATTTCAGCTAAATCCATTGATAAAAGCTATAAATATATGCACTTTACTAAAATGGCATGAGAACATGGATGGATGGATTGGCTTGGATTGGATGGATGGGTAGGTGGGTGGGTGGATGGATACCTAGAAATTGTATATCCAGGGAAGTTACAGCCATGTAATAATTCTTACAAGTGTCTAGAGTTTATTTTTTATTCCATTTCATGTTTGATTTTTATTGACTATACCTACAGCCCAGCCGTTTCACTTTACAGTATTTACCTTATCTGTAGTCTTACGTCTCCCTCATCCTATTAGTACCTTTTTAATTGATGTGCTTTTTCACATTTAGTTCCAGAGACCTGCTTAGTGTACCTTTTGCTACAAAAACAGTTATACAAAGTTGGAAGGATTAACTACAGTGTCGATTCCCTGTCACTTCTCAGGCCTTGACTCTTTTAAAAGACACAGCCGTAGAAGGTGATGTCAGAGTAAAAGAAAGCCTTGGCCAGGAAAGAGGTTATGATTTACCATTTGTTTAACATACATTGTCTTAGGAATAATGTGACCTTTTGTTGCACATTACAAATAGATGATAAGAATGTGACCTAAAGTAAAAGAGATTTGGGGGTGAGGGAAAAATTAATAGAATCATTTAATTTTTTTTAACAGCACAAGGTCTTAACTAATCTAGGTCTAAACCCTAATTTATTTTTAAACCCTAATTTTAAGGATTAGGAAACTTGAGCTCAGAGAAGTTAAATATCTTGCCCAGGATCACACAGCTCATTTGTAGAGGACCTGACCACCAGCCTTCTGTTCTGGCACCTCTATGGGGTGTTGCGGGGAGATAAACAAGACTGTGAGGTGTGGAACTAAGACTACGAGTTCAGGATTATGATGGCTTCTGTTTCTATTTTTTAAAACAAGCTCGGAGTTGAGATAGCTCGATACCGAATGCCACTTAAAACCTTGAGCAAGTGTTTAAACCTATCCATGCCTCAAGTTCCTCATTTGTAAAATAGAGTGATACAAGTATACCTATCCAGAGAATGGGGAAAATTGTTATGTGAAAAGTATTTAATGCCGAGCCTATCACAAAATTAAAACTGCATACGCGCTCGTTTTTATTTCTCCTACACGCTATGCCTCCTCCTTGATCAAAGGGCTTTGTTTTCTAAAGCAGAAATTTCAGGGATCACGAGGTCCACATTGAAGTTGGTGCCTGCAGACCTAGCCGGGCCCACGGGGTGCTTCAATCTGTCCCTCATTTACTGTTCCTGAGTGCGTTTCTTTAACGGAGTCTCCCAGGCCATCTGTAGGGCCCCTCCCTAGACCACAGGCTTTCGTGTCTGCACCTGTTCTTGGTGTGCAGTGTTTGGGTGGGTGGGGGGCGGGTGTTCCTTTTTCTTCAGCTCCAGAGAGAACAAGAGTTCTGCCTGCACTCCCTCTGAAAACACTTGTCTTTTACTCAGGTGCCCTCAAACACACAATGATGCAATCTTAAAATTACCAATGGTTAGTGAGTGCTGAAACCCAGGCCAGCTGGGCCAGAATTTGTCTCCCTCAGATGGTGGGCACTCTGAGGACCATCCGAGTCTGACAGAAGCAACAGTAACACAACGAGCAAAGTTACTTCTCAATATCCTCAAAAAAGATATGGCCTCACTTCCCAGTTGTCTGGGACTGAGCGACAGGCCCAGCTGTCCCGGGTGGCCACCATGGGGAGCACGTTAAATATAGCCTGTCCGGGGGTCACTCACATCGTCTGACCCTCCTGCTGTCACAGTCTGTCTTTCCCCCAGAGAACCAGAAGTATCACCATTGCTTGTGTCACACCTGCACAAGGCAACCTGGGCAGAAAAGGTGATAAGAAACCTCAGTTTTAACCCCTGGTGATTCTCTCTCAGTATCTTTCCTTTCTCAAAGACCTGAAGATCCAAAAAAAAAAGACCTGAAAATCTAGGGAGTTTTAGCTATTTTGGTAGGCCAAGTAGGTTTTCTCCTCTTCTTAGTAATTTAAGGTTACTATTGAATGCTCTTGCATTGCAGTTTTATTTCATTTGCCGGGTCTCTTGACTATCCAAATGAGTTCTAAACAATACAGAGTATGTTTCTTTCTGGTGCACCTGTGCCTTTTTTTCTACTAAGCTCCACGATTTCTTATCCATTTTTGCAGCTTGACAACATAGCATCTGAGTGGGTCGGACTTCCTCCTCTGCCTTCAGCCAGGTGTCTCTTCGGTCTGGGAGAGGTAGATGACAAAATCTATGTCGTTGCCGGCAAAGACCTGCAAACAGAGGCTTCGCTGGACTCAGTGTTATGCTACGATCCTGTGTAAGGTCACATGGGTTACTGCCTCCTAAGCATTTATGGCGTAGCAGTGCTTACAACACACTCATAGTTTGAGAAGCAGGAGCCCTAATGGCATAGTAGTTCCTCACTGGGCTGTTAACCAAAAGGCCAGCTGTTTGAAACCACCAGCCCCTCCATGGGAGAAAGAGGCTTTCTACTCCTGTAAAGATCCACAATCTCAGAAACCCACAGGACAGTTCTACCCTGTCCTAGAGGCTCGCTATGAGCCAGAAACGGCTTGATGGCAGTGAGTTTAGGTTTTGTTTGTTGTTATTTGAAAGCATCTAAATTCTGTCGTCTCCTTTTAGGGCTGTCAAATGGAATGAAGTGAAGAAACTCCCTCTAAAAGTCTATGGTCATAATGTAATTTCACACAAAGGGATGATATATTGCCTAGGAGGAAAGACAGATGACAAGTAAGTACGCTGACATTTCCTTACCATTTACACCCAAGTGGTTTTTGACTATTTACTGGGGAGCTTCCTCTTTTCATTTAAATCTACCTACTTTCATGGGTTGTGGTCCTCCATAATACTTTAGAGGTAAATTCAAAATAAAAACTTGAAAAGTTATTAGAGAACTACAAATATGTAGATGCCCGGTCCCCTCTTAGGAATATGAACATACTATCCTACCTTCAGCATAAGGGGGCCCTAGGAGAGTAGTGGGCCATGCACTGATCCAATAACCACCTACCAGCTGCTCAGAGGAAGAAAGGCGAGGCTGTCTAATCCTTTAAAGATTTAGTCTCGGGTGTGTTAGTCCAGGTTGACTAGAGAAACAAATCCAGAGTCACTCATGTGTGTGTAAGAGAGGACTTTATATCAAAGAGCAATTGTACACTAAGAAAACATCCTAGCCCATTCCAGATCAAGTCCATAAGTCCGATATTAGCCCATATGTCAATACTAGTCCATCAATTCCTCTTTAGACTCACGCAGTCATGCAATGATGCTGAATGCAGGAAGATTCTAGGCCAGTGAGTATAAAGTTTTGTGGATCTGTGGTGGTGGAAGCATTTCAGCCCTGGCGTGGGTCTCCATGTGGTTCCTCCAGTTCCAGGACTCTGGCTCCATCAGTGTAGCTCCATGTGCCTTGACAGCAGGAAGACAGAAGCAGAAAGTGTCTCCCACCTCCAGGGAGGAATACAGGAGTTCCCAGAATCCTCAGGAGAAGGCCATGCCCACACAGAGGCCTCCTTGGCTATGGCCTGATTGACAGGTTAGACGCCACCCCTTCGCGCAAGTTGACAGGAGACTGTTACTGCCACATTGGAAACCAAATTGCAGTTCTACCCTGTCCAACATGTTCGTTCGATAGGAGTTGGAATTGACTCATTGGCAAGAGTCAACCTTTAGTATAGCATTTTTTGTCTGTTTACAGCAGAAAAACAACACATAGGAACATAAGCAAGCCTTATTTCAATGATATATAATTATACTTTACTGTGTGAAAAGCAATGAACTTTCTTATTCATTTAGCCCTAGTAGATGAAAATGAAATGTAACTTTTTTAATGCAGTGAAACAATAACACATAAAAATATAATATTTTTGTACTTCCCATCCCTAACAGGGAATTTAGATAGATGAGTCTGAAACCGTTACAAAACATGATCACTGGTAAGAGGACAGCGATTTCCTCAGCAAATGTTACACTTATTTATTGCCAGAGAGAAGTGATACTCAGAGTATTTAACAGTGGATTGCAGGCTGGGACTGCTCAAACAGAGCAGATCTTTCTGGTAGTTGAGTGACCAGTCACTCGTGAGGAAACAGAGCCACTCTCATGTACAATCCTCCCTTGACTTCTGGGCACTTATTAAGAGAAAGGTCATGATGTGAGAGAGGTGCCACTCAAAGTGGGGAGAACGGAGTTCAGACTGCTCCAGCAGCCTGATACAATGAACGTTTTCCAGTTTGGACGTTGAGCGGAGCTCCTAGCCTCCTGTTCCTAAAGCTTCGGCCTGATTTGGTCTTGTCATCATTTGCACAGGCCATTGAATATCTAGAGATGTCTGATCCTAGAGAACAAGCCAGGACTGAGAGTCGTAAACCCTGGAGGTGTGGTGGGTTAGCTAGCACTGGGCTGCTAACCATAAGGCAGCTATGAAGTAGCAACAAAAATAATGTTATGGCTGGGGGGTCAGCACCACATGAGGAACTGTATTAAAAGGGTTGCAGCATCAGGAAGGTTGAGAGCAACTGTTGTAAGGCATGCAGTTGAAACCCACCAGCTACTCTAAGGGAGAGAGATGAGGCTATCTGATCCTGCCGATCACTGTAAGTTGGAATGGACTGGATGGCAGTGGGTTTGGTTTGGGGCCAAGGCATAGCCTTGGAGGAGAGGTAAATATGCAAATAGGTTAGAAGTGAGAAATTCTGTATACCGGAATTAATAGTTGATGGTGGTTATTCAATACAAATGATACATATGGAACAGAAAGTGTGATTCTTAGAAGCAATGGTTTTCACTCTACCCGTATTCTAAAATAACATTTTCTGATAGCCTCTTTAATCTCAGCGAATTCCCCCACATGAAAATTCAAAGGAAACTATATAAAACGCCCGTCAGTGCGGTCTTACACAGGACACTTTTTCCTGAGTAAATGGCGTTGACAATCTGTATGAAGCCCGGTTCTGGCTCCTGAAACATACGAACCCTGCCAAATGGCTTAAATTGTTTCCGCCAAATAGTATTAGTAACTAGGAAACTGATATGTCAGTAAGAAGTATACAAGTCTCGTCAGTAAGACTATATTAATCTTGCTGGGGAGGGCAGGGAGAAAAAAAAGAAAGGAATATATTAATCTTGATAATATGGTTAGCCAAGAAAGCACGGTTTGCCAAATACCAAAGGCAGGGACTTTGAAATGAGTCACTTTCCAAAAGTCAGTTCTGTATTGCACTAGTATTGCACCATCACAGAATAGGAAGACTACGATTTTGTATCATGCTCTAAGCAAGAAGTTTTACTGAGAAAAAAAAAGAAGCTATAGTAAATAGAAGAATATATGTTTATAGTCCAGTTAACTGGTCTTTTACAAGACTCAAGGAAGGAAAAAAAAATCTCCTCCCCCAAAAGTTGGATTTTTTTTGGTCTTACCAGATATATCCAGTTAACGATCATTTGGCATCCTGAATTTCCATGTGAAATTATGGATAATATTGAAATTATGGTTAATTTATGAGTAGCTAATCAGAAGGAAGGAACATGCTCAAAAGGGAATTTCACGAGTTTAGGTTTTTCTGGTAGTTTCCTGGAAGTTAAAGTAACCCTCTCTGTTAATAGTGTCATGAAGCTATAAAATCGTTCAGTCCCCACATCGCTAACCGTCTTTTGCTGAGTCATCTATGCGCAGACTAAGAGCTCTGGGAGTTTTTCTGCCTTGTGCTGGGTAGCAGATTCTGTCTGAGTGCAATGTGAAATTTTTAGCAAAGCGGTGTCTTCCCAAAAATCTGAAGCAAAAAAATTGCCAATCTGAAACAGAAAATTCTAAAACAGAACCTTTGGTTGTCTGTCATGTTTACAGAAAGTGCACAAACCGGATGCTGATCTACAACCCCAAAAAGGGGGACTGGAAAGATCTGGCTCCCATGAAAATCCCCCGCTCCATGTTTGGTGTGGCAATCCACAAAGGCAAAATTGTGATCGCAGGAGGGGTCACGGAAGATGGCCTTTCCGCTTCAGTGGAAGCGTTTGACCTCTCAACCAACAAGTGAGTTGCATATGAACACTGGACGTTTTCCATTTGGGGCAACAAGTCAAGCTTTCTAACGGAGACATGGGCAGCGGTGGGCAGAGGTCAAAGAGGCATTTTCATCTGTGCTTCTTCTGCCATCGGTGGGCAGCAGACTCCTAACCTCTTGATGTACTGCATGTGTTGTAATTTGGAGCAGAGTCCCCTCCAGTTAGTGATGATACGTTCTATTTGTCCTTACTCGTTCTTAACTTTGTGAACTTAATTGTACAAAGATAACACATACATTATATAAATAAAATTGCATACAGGAGCTTCAAAAAGTTCATGGGAGAAAAAAACGGAATTAAAAGATAACAGAATTCTTTGACAAGCTTTTTGATGCCCCCTTACATATGTAGACTAAACCCTCCTGTTCATGTCTCCATAGAGTCCAGAATATTTGAACTATATCAGTTCATTAAGGGTAAACGACTTCCACTTAGCATTTCATGACTGCTATTGTAAATTACCAGTGCCTCAGAAGTTTCATTTCTTTATGCTCTTGATAACTTCTTTTTCTTAAAAATCTTCCCTTTGGCTTTCATTGGATTCAAGTTAATGTGAAAAGATATTTGACATGTTCTTTATAGAAAATTATTCTTTTAAAAATGAGCTTATAAATCTACATTAGTATATCTTTTTAATACTCCTAGTTCAGCAATGACTTTTTTTTAAGGAACCATGCATACCTAATTAAAAACAGATGTCAGGAAAAAAAAATATATCAGTACCTGAAAATCATGAGGAACTTATAAGGAATGATTTAAGTAATCATTAAAACTCCTATTTTTGAAGACTATGTAATGAAGAAATGCTCATGATATACAAAGTGAAAGTGGGATCCACAATTGTAAACATCCTGTATTCTTAGTTTTGTGTGGGTGTCAACACATATATATTTACCTGCTCTTTAAAACATGCCAAAGTCACAGCAAAATGTTAATAGTGATTATGTTGGCAGCAGATGAACATGGGGCAGAATTGGGGTTTTTTCTAGGCCTTTTTGTACTTTCCAGATTTTCTACAGCATAGGTATGTCATTTCTAATTAGAATCTAAATAATATGCTTAAAGAAAAAAAAAAGTAGAAGTCATGGTTTGACTTCTACTTTTAAAGTCGGAATGATGACAATACTTACTGAAATGACTCCTGATATTCCGTTAATTGGGTGGATTTCCCTTTTAGTTGTCCTATTGCAGATGGCTATTAGTATTTTTAAAAGTCCCCTTTCATGATGTACATAGGACATATAAATTATGAAAAAGAAATCTCCTCAATTCGTAAACTATCCTTGTAATGTACTACTATCAGTTCGTTGAATCCAACACGGAAGCAGATTCAAGGCCTCAGAGCCGCCGCAGTCGAGGACAGAGGACCACTCCGCTAAGGGTGCCAATGAAGCCCACGTGCTCTAGGATTGATGGAGAGCCTTATATCTGAATGTGGTTATATCTTTCAAATCTGGAATATTTAAATATATCCTACCACATATTGCCTTAATCTTCTAATCCTAGTGTCTGTGGAGGTGGTGCAAACTCATCGGCCGCTCTGTGGGAGAAAAGGGAGGCTGTCTGCTCCCTTTAAGATTTACAATCTCAGAAACCGCCCCGCCCCCTATAGGGTCGCTATGAGTCAGCATGACTCAATGGTGGTAAATTCGGTAGCGGGGGAGGGGGTATGTGCGTATGTTATTTGAAGACTTATCACAATCCATACACACATCAATTGTGTAAAGCACATTTGTACATTCATTGCCCTCATCATTCTCAAAACATTTGCTCTCCGCTTAAGCCCCTGGCATCAGCTCCTCATTTTTCCCCTCCCTCCCCACTTTCCCCTCCCTCATGAACCCTTGATAATTTATAAATTATTATTTTGTCATATCTTGCCCTGTCCCACGTCTTCCTTCACCCACTTTTCTCTGGTCTAGTCATATTTGTAGGGCAGAATTGGGATCATGATAGTGGGTGAGGAGGAAGCATTTAGCAACTAGAGGAAAGTTTATGTTTCATCGTTGCTACATCGCACAGTGACTCGCTCGTCTCCTCCCTGAGACCCTTCTGTAAGGGGCGGTCCAGTGGCCTGCAGATGGGCTTTGGGTCCCCACTCCGCACTAACTCCCCTCATTCACAATGATATGATTTTTTGTTCTTTGATGCCTGATACCTGATCCCTTCAACACCTCATGATCACACAGGCTGGTGTGCTTCTCTCGTGTGGACTTTGTTGCTTCTGAGCTAGATGGCCGCTTGTTGATGAAGACTTTTTTATTATTACTATTTCAGTAAGTGTATTTTTCCTTTCTCAGTAAATGTATTTGGCAGCGCATTGACTGTGTTTTCACTCATGCCTAGATGGGAAGTAATGCCTGAATTCCCTCAAGAAAGGAGCTCCATCAGCTTAGTCAGCCTGTCTGGATCCCTGTATGCCATCGGGGGCTTTGCCATGATTCAGCTGGAGTCGAAAGAGTTTGCCCCCACTGAAGTCAATGACATATGGAAGTAAGTTCTCTTCACTCCCATTTTCTTTTTAATCATTTTATTGGGGGCTCATACAACTCTTATCACAATCCATACATACATCAATTGTATAAAGCACATTTGTGCATTCGTTGCCCTCATCATTCTCAAAACATTTGCTCTCCACTTAAGCCCTTTGCATCAGCTCCTCATTTCCCCCTCCCTTCCCGCTCCCCCCTCCCTCATGAACCCTTGATAATTTATAAATTATTTTGTCATATCTTACACTGTCCGACATCTCCCTTCACTTCCATTTTTCTGAACCAACTATTACATCAGACAAGCAATAATTGATAGCCAATTTATTAGTGAATACCAAGCCAAACTTTCCCCACCATGGAAGCGACTTCTTGGTTGTAAACAAAACTTTTTTGAGCCTAATTGATATTTTACACCTGCTACTTATTTGGTCAAGCTGTGAGTTTGGAAAAGCAATAACATTCTCAGGTCCCGTTTCTTAATCAGTAAAATGAGAGTCAGACTATTGATCCTTTAAACTCTGTTCTTCTCTAAACACCTGACGCTCTAACCCTCCAACAGCGAACGCTACTGCATACCAGACCATTCTGCTCTCTCCCAGGGAGCTGTTTATTTCTAGGAAAAGAGAGCTCTGAAGAAAGGTGTTGAATTCAAGAATTAAACTTTGCATCTAATTTAAATGGCATTCCACTTGTTGGAGGATTCAATTAATAAAAGCTTTTGAAAAGGAAAGAAAGAAAATAAAGGTAGCCGCCTATTTTAGCTGCTGGGTGGTGCGGGGCAGTTCTCCCTCAGTATGACTGAGGGATAAGCGCTTGTGAGGCATGTCTGTTTCAAAGGAGTGATAGTCGTCCAGATAACCCCCGCAGAGATGGAGACCAGTTCTTGCTCAAAGTCAAGAGCAGAAGCCCTCAAACAGGACAATAGAGCTGAAGGGGGATTAATTTTTATTGAGTAACTACTTTGTGCCAGATGCTATGTACGGGAACAGGGGAAGTCATGTTTAAGCTCATCACCAGTTCTTCTTCTGATGGCTTATTTATTCAGAAATAAACCACCTCCTCAGTAAAAGGCAAATGGCTGAGACTCTTACTGCCCTTTTGATTCCTAGAGAGGCTGAACTTCCTCCAGGCAAATGCTCCTTCCGATGAGGCATTTCTGGAGAGGAAGCTAAGGGTTATGTACGCCGAGGGACAGGTTGTTCCTTCTCTGAGTAAGAGCCAACAGGGTCTGAAGCCTATAACCACCCATTGTATTTTTCAAAGACCCATATTTACCTGTCAACTAACTACTTAAAAGCTGCTTACCAGTGACTTTTTCCTTCCTCCATCAGGTATGAAGATGATAAAAAAGAATGGGCCGGGATGCTGAAAGAAATCCGCTATGCTTCCGGAGCTAGTTGCCTAGCAACACGTTTAAACCTCTTCAAGCTGTCTAAATTATAGACAAGAAGGTGACAAAACATAATAGATTGGGAGGTGGTTTATTTGGAAAACAGCTTTAATTTATTCTGCTGTTGTTTTGTTAAGCCTGTACAGCGATTTATTTAGAAATCTATTATTCACTAAGGTCTACAAGGCTAGCAATGGGTGTCAGCACTTCAAAGTCAGTTAATCTGCAATGTATGTTCAGAGCTTTAAAGGGTTTCTGATAAGTCAACATTGCAGTGAACAAATTATTTATTGTGTTAATATGTTTCAATCAATTATAAAGTAGGTCCTAAATTTACACTGTTACTAATCCCATAATTTGCATTGTTAGGGTACACTCATTTTCTGTAACAAATGAAATGGAAGCGTGAACCATGTGCACCTGCATCTGAAAAAGAATACTGTTAAAAATGTCAAACGCCTTCTCTAATGCTTCAAGCTACAATAGAAACCCTGTGCATTTTAGTGAAGAAGATTACTGCCAAGAGAAGACTTTGGAAATGGTATCTAAGGAGTGGAATAAATAGGAGCATAATTTTCTCATCTGGAGAAGAACATTCTCTAAGTAAAATATCAACATCAAGTGTTTTGTGTTCTCTCCATTCTTTTTTTGCGGCTAGTGTATTCTGTTTGTGATTTCCAGATCAGATTTCAGACTTTTAAAACCAGTCCATTGATCATCAAACCTTTAACTACATTATCTTGGTAGAAAGATGGTGGGGGAAAGATCAATGGGAAATGAACTGATTCTTTAAACTGTTGGAGTAGAGGTCAGGGGCAAGGATGGTGGGGAAAGCATGCAATCGCTGATGTAGGTTTCAGCTATACTTTCCACATGAGGTATGTCTAGTTGCAAATTTCTGATAACAAGAAAGGTATATTGTCTTTGTTTTGTGAAGCCTTATATTCAAGCTGTTTGTTCTCATTGCATTTAGTAGGTTGACTCCTCTGACTATCCCTGGCCATCAAATTCAGTTATATTCAAGCCATCAATCTATCACCTATAGTGCCACATGCCAATTTGTCAGTCTTACTAAGCTTTCATAGGCAGCTGCTTGACTTCTAGCCTTGCACATAATATTTGTTGAGAAGCCTGGTGTGGGAATAAAAATTGTTTATTGAGCATTTGTAAAACAACACATATAAAACAACACAAAAAGAGAGCTATATTGTCCCTGTCATGTATACTGAACTATATTCAACAAACATGTTTTACTTTGGATCCCTGAAGTAGAATCCTGAGTAGTTTCTCTATTAATATTGCTTGGAACTGTACCACGTATAAGATCAGCAAATCCTCATGGTAGGAAACTCTGCAAGTTCTTCAACAGATAAATTATAAGGTTATCAAGGGACTAGAAGGAAAGTCCGGTAGATTGAAACAGACTTAAAAGCAGAGAAGGGCGAATTACACACACCTGGTTGATAAGACGTTGGGGTGAGAGAATGCTAACATAAAGACATGGAATCAGGTTATAACACTTCTTATAGGGTTTCTTTGGAGATTATTAAAATGTTCTAAAATTGACTGTGGTGATGGAGCGCCTGTCTGTAAATACAAAAAAAAATCACTGAATTGAATACTTTCAAAGGTCAAGTTTATGTGAAAATTCTGAGCCATAACCAAACGCCTTGAGGGAATGACCGTGGACTTGGAGGGCTTCGGGCCACCGTGTCAGCTAAACTCAGCCAGCATAACATAGTTCACAAAGACAGTGTTCTCCGGGAGGTCATGGTGAGTAGTGACGGTGATCTTAAAAGCTAGTGAGGGACCAGCCAAGGTGCCACTATCGTCTCTCTCCATCCAGAGAAAAGAAGAGTGAGGAAAATCAACGACTCCAGGAAACAATTGGTCCAAAGGATTCATGGACCCTCGAACCACAGGCTCCACTACCCTGAGAGCAGGAGACCGAGATACTGCCTGGCTACCGTTACCAACCTGTCTGATGCAGACCACAGAAGGCCCTGAACAGAATGGGAGGAAAATGTGAAACCAAAGTCAAAATCATAAAAGAAAGATAGACTTACTGTTAGGTAACTAGAGGCAGAAACCAGGGTTGTTCCTCTACCTGCCAAGGCCTCCCTCTGCCCCTTACAGGAAGTTGAAAGCTGGTCAAGGCTAGAGGGCCTGCACAAATTCAGGCCGTTGAGGCGAAGCCAGTACACTTGTGGGGAGGGGTGCGCAATCTAGGCCAGGTGAGCTTAATTCAGCCAATGGGGTCAACCAGTACCGTCGACCACGCCTCCCAGCAGAGGGCCCTGAGAAGGTCAGAGCTGAGAGCCCACTGCCCTCTTCCAGCTGCTCCTCCGCTGTGCTGTGGTTTCTGTGGCCTCCAGTCACCACATGTGAGTGTGAAGTGCCCTGAAGGTGGCTGTGTAAAACCTAAAACCATGTCTATCCTTTCTAAAAACTCACCTGGATCACAAACCAGCCTGGGGGTGAATTCTTTCTCGTGGGAAGGCAAGGACCAGGTATCTCCCACCCGAGTAACCTAACATTACTGATGTGACAGAGAACCCCCAAAACTGTGGTCCTTAGACATCCTTTAAACCTGGAACTAAACCAACCCTGAGGCTCACCTTGCAGCCAAACACCACACAGGCCTTTAAAATGAAGAGTCTGGAGAAACATACCCTTCAGAACAGTTAACCATATGAGACCCAAAGGGCAGCCTTTGCCCCCAAAATAAAGCTCCGAAAGGGGCAGAAGAGGAGGAGGAGGGGAAATGGAGACCTCAAGGGAGGAAGTGGAAAGAGTGCTGTCACATGTAGGGATGTGCAACTAATCCCATGAAACACATTGTGTACAGTTGAATCCAAAACGAATTTGCTCTGTAAAATTCCAACCAATTTAAAAAAAAGGTCGATTTGATGGCATGTGAATGATTTCTCTATTAAAAGAGCTTTTTAAAAATTACAGTCCCAGTAGTTTAAACAGGAAATTCAAACACAATGTGATATACAGCTGTAAAGTCAAGAAGTATTGCTATTGGGTTCTAGTTCATGCATGCATGGATTTATGCCAAACAAAACATGTTTAAACATGGCTCTGCAATCAGTAGGTGGCTACAGACTCATTATCTCAAATGTAGGTTTGTCTTAATCTCAAGACCAAAACAAAATCACTCCATCAAGGAGCTACGACACAGTGACCCTGTAGGACACGATGCAACTTCCCTGCGAGTTTCTGAGACTACCTCTTTATAGGGGGAGGAAGTCCAGGCTTCGCTCCCCTTGCCCCTCCCTCAGAGTGGCTGGTGGTTTTGAACTACTGACCTTGTAATTAGCAGCCCAACGCATAACCCCTGCGCCACCAGGGTGCCTGTCTTAATCTCAGGGTGCCTTGAAAAAGAAAAAAGAATACTTTTGTGTCATGGGGAAAAACCCTATTTGTAGGTCAGGACTAATAACAAAATGTTAGCACTCCAGTGGACCCAATCATTGAAGCTTTGCAATAAGATCACGAATTTCTGAGAATATTGCCCCACCTAGCTGGATCAAGCTAAACAGAAAGTCAGGCAAACCGCCAAGGGTCATCATTTGAATCCCCTGAAGATGCCAAAACTGCTGTTTGACAGAGGCAGCAATCAAAAGATGTGGAATTTTTGGAGGGAGGGGTTAAAATAAGTAAACTTGCTGTAATGGAGTTGATTCCGACTCTCGGGGACCCTCCAGGCCAGGGTAGAACTGCCCCTGTGGGTTTCTGAGACTGTCACTCTGCTGCTGTTAAGTGCTGTGGAGTCAAGGTATAACAGAACCAGACATGGCCTGGTCCTGCGCCATCCCCCAACTGTTGCCGTGCCTGAGCTCCCTGTTGCCGCCGCTGTCACTCCAGCTCACCAAGGGTCTTCTCCTTCGTTGCCCCTCCATTTACCAAGCACGGTGTCCCTCTCCAAGGACTGGTCTTTCCTGATAACATGTCCGAAGTACGTGCGATGAAGCCTCGCCATCATTGCCTCCAAGGAGCATTCTGGCTGTACTTCTTCCAACAAAGAGCTGTTCTCTTGGCAGTCCTTAGTGCTTTCCCTTTTTCTCATGCAGTGGCTGGTGGTTTCGAACTGCTGTCTCTGTGGCAGTAGCCCAACGCACAAGCAATGCGCCACCTGGGCTCCAAGGGGAAGGGCGAGGGAGAAACAACGCCCTCAGAAGTGCATAGACAGATGGGAGATAATCGAGAAACAGTAGCTTCACATTTTGCTCTTTTTTATTAAAGATTTCTGTGATTTTTTTTTTAGACTTTTGGACTTACCCTGGTATATAAAGTATCAGACAGTCTAGAGAGAGAAGATCAAGAGGTATGGTATATGAAAAGTGAGATGAGGTATGGTATATGAAAAGTGAGATTGTGTGTAAGAATGTATAGGTCAAAAAGCACACTGGGATCATGTAATCAATATTTCTATCTGAAGTAGACAATAACTAGATTTTCAATTCTGTACTTACTCCCAAGGAGAGTAAATAGTGCCTTAGCCTCCCTCATCAGTCTGTTCATTTTCTTTTAAAAGGTGCACGGTAAAATATTTTACTATATTCAGATGTTTAGTTCTTGTTAGATACTTAAATATCTGAACCATTTTAGAATTTATTATTTGCTTATTATTCCATTCATCCATGAAAATGATAAACATTTAGATTTTTAACACACTAGTTAATGTGAAGGAGGGGCCTGAGGAAAATCAGAAGGAGGAAGCGAGTTAATTACAAGGAGACATCGTTCACTTGCTAGCTGTTCTGATGGTTTTTTCCCCACAAAAATTTCTGTGATGTCCACTTTACGCCAAATCATTCAGTACTGGGGCACAAGTCATGCGAAATCATTGGCTATTTTAAACAAGTACTTCAACCACTACCTGTGTGTGTCTTCTGTGGTGGCTTACATGTCTCCATGCCAAATACCAGCGGCATCATCCGTGGTGTACAGGTTTCAGCAGAGCTTCCAGACCAAAACTAACTGCAGCCTGCCAGCCTGTTTCTGAAAATGAGCCAGTGAAATGCCTATGTATCACAAGAGAATACCATCTAATAGTTGGGGAAGATTAACCCTGTGGGTTGGAAGGCACTAAACCATAGGTTCCCAAACTTGCCTGGCCTACCGCCCCCTTTTCAGAAGAAAATTACTCTGTCTCCCTTCAGAAATGCTAAGAAACGCTAGCAAGTTTCTCCTGAGGAAGCCACACAGGCAAGACATCAAGACAAGACAATGTGACAGGACAGTATGACAATAAGTGGAGCAGAGATTTAATAAGCAAAGCATGATTCAATCACAAAGCATACCATCTCGTGATTTCAGGAAGACATGATGTCCAGGGGTAAGACATGGGATTTTATGAGGGTTGGGTGGCAGGACCCCACTGACTCATCTCAGTCCCTATCCTGTCTTTCCCAGTGGCCTTTATTCTTGTGTCTTGGTTAGTGCTTATTCCAGCACAATGATTGGTCTCATACGCCGTGGCTTTTGCTCCTTATTCTCATGTGAGGCGGTGTTGAGATGAGTCATCCGGACCTCCAGGATAACAGATCAGGTGAGGCCGTTTGCGATGGCTCATCGAGCCCTCTAGACAAGACTGGTGGAATGAATCAGAGGTCTGGATGACCCATCCCTTAACTGCCTTACATATTTTTAATTGAAAAGTTATCTCAGGACAATGGTTTCAGAGGTTCATCTATCCTCCATTGCTATAGAATCCATAAGACTGGAAATTCTTGTCAGCATTTTCCCCTTTGGGTCAGAATTCTTTTAGAAAATGTTGACCAACATGCTCAGTAATGGAAGCCAGAGGCCATCCAGTTCTTCTTGTCGCATGGCAAAGGAGGCAGTTGTTCATGGAGGCAAACAGTCACACATTCCATCTCCTCCTCCTCCTCTCTCTGGCTCCTCTTTTTCCTCTGTTGCTCCAGAACAGAAATCAATTATTGGACCCCAGACGGTCATTTGCAAGCTTTTAGTAAAGACCCCAAGCACTGTGCAACCAGATAAGAGGGAAAATAGAAGCATTAAAAACGTTATTAGGCCAATTATCTGGGATGTACCATGAAACCATGAGCCTGAACCTTCAAACCAAGGAATCAAACTCTATGAGGCTCTTGGATGTACATACCAGGCAGAGCAGCTATTTTTATTGTTGCTGTTATAAGCATATCTATGACACAACTTTTGGCAATTCAACTTTTTATAAGGATACAACTTATTGGCAGATATTACAGTAATTGGCTGTACAACCCTACCCTTAATCTATGTGATTTTTTCTGTCACTATTAATCCCCTCATGCCTAATCACTACTAATAAACTTTGGTCTCTATATTTGCCCTTTCTTGTGTTTATATAAGGGAAGTCAAAGAACATCTGTCCTTTTATGATTGGCTTATTTCTCTCAGCATATAGTGTCCTCAAGCTCCATCCATACTACAACATGCACCTAGACTTCATTACTTCTACAGGCTGACTAGTATTCCACTGTGTGTATGTAGGGACCACATTCCGCTTATCCATTCACCTGTTGATGGGCAGTTAGGATGTTTCCATCTCATGGCCATTGTGAATAATGCTGCAATAAACACTGGTGTGTGTGTCTTTGAGATGTTTCTTCACTTGGCTCCTAGGGTGCTACTTTCTTTTTCTCCTACCTCATTGGCTACTCTTGCTCAGACTCTCTTGCTGGTTCCTCTGCTTCTTGCCTGCCTCACAGTTCAGTACTGACCACTTTTCTAGGCCTAGTCTTAAGCACACTTTAGTGATTTCATCTATCTCATGGCATTACATACTGCTGGTACCTTCCAAATTTACCTCTGGAGCATGGAACTCCTATTTTTTTTAAATCATTTTGTTGGGGGCTCCTACAACTCATCACAATCCATACATACATCCATTGTGTCGAGCACATTTGTACCTTGGTTGCCATCATCATTCTCAAAATATTTTTCTACTTGAGCCCTTGGCATCAGCATCTCATTTCTCCCCCCTCCCCTTTCCCCCTCCCTCATGAACCCTTGATAATTTATAAATTATTTTGTCATATCTTACACTGTCCAGGAACTCCAATTTTATTTATTGAATCGTCTATTTGATATATCCATTTAAATACATAAAACGCACCACAAACACAGCCCAAACCAAATTCATGGTCTTCCCTTGCCTCCAGAGTTATTGGTCCCATAGGCTTCCCCTTCTTTCAGCAGCTCAGGACAGAAACTCAGAATTACTCTCTTCCTTCTCTTTCTTTCACTCTTCATATCTAGCAGGTGAGCAAATTGTTTCCACTACTTCAAAATACACTTAAAAATCTGACCACTGTTTACTCCGGGACTCCTCTGCCCAAGCCACTCTTCTTCCCTTTAGTGACATTGCTGGCTTAGTGAAGAGTGAATCCGTGTCCCATGAACTATTTGTATGTAAATAGTTCTGCGACATCAGTTACAACTTTAACACTGCATCCACCTTCTTATTACTTCCACTGTTGGTTCTGTTTCCGTTGACCTGGCTTCCATTTCCATCTTTGCTTGGGGGCAGATATTGACCGTATGATCTCCTATAGTTGTTTAAGGGACACAGTACTCATGGGTGCTACGACTTATTTAATAAATCAATCTATTGTTTAGCCGAAAGTTGACCTTCAGGAGTGGTTTCAGTTCTTGGCTAAAGGTATTTTAGGAGGATAATTTGGGGGGTTACTCTAATCCAGTACATCTGGTCTTCTCAGCTATTTGAGTATTTGGTCTATGTTCCCCCCAACCCTCCCGTCTTACTGGGACCTTCTACCATGTGCCTGGTCAGAAGTTGGTAGTGATCTCCAGGTACCATCCAGTCCTTCAGGTTAAGAGGCTGTGGTTCTTGTGGGCAATTAGGCCTATGGAACAATTTCTTGGGTCTTGGGTTTTCTTCATTCTTTCACTCTAGAAAGTAGAAACCCCCAATCGTATCTTCGCCACTTGCAATTCTTTAGGAGGCCAGGCACTACTAACCAAACTAAGGTGTAGGACATTAACTTTATAAACTAAATTTTCTGAGACCATGATTCTAATCCGTTCAACCCAGCTGTTGCCATGAGTTGTTTAGTTGGGTTTGGTTATGCATTCAGCTGTGATCTGCAAGGTCAACAGTTGGAAACCACAGCCAATCCTTAGGTGAAAGACAGGGATTTCTACTCCCATGAACAGTAGCAGTGTTTGGAGTTTTGGGAGAAGTCACCTTATATATCTAGTAACAGTGTCACTTGTATGCTTTATTATATCTATGTATTAACATATGCCTAAAGGATGCACTGAGGAGCCCTGGTAGCACAGTAGTTACACATTTGGCTGCTAACTACAAGGTCAGCATTCCAAAACCACCAGCTGCTCCTCAGGAAAAGGCTGATTTCCACTCTCGCCGAGTCACAGCTTTGGAAACCCACAGGGGCAGTTCTACCCTGTCCTCTAGGGTCCCTGAGTCAGAATCCGAATTGAGTGGATGGCAGTGAGTTTGGTTCTAAAGAGCCACCTTTACCTTCACTTTATGACTCACAAATGCCTTCCTATGGACATATATGCATACACTTCTACCTTTGTAACCACAAACAGTGTTTCTGGTCGTTATTACTATTGTTACAAAATTGAAGGTGTAGCAGTGTTTATCAAAGTTGTCCCCTTTTGTTAGGTACTTCCTGGTGTTTTCATTTACCACGGTCACGTTGTGTGGACCTCCTTTTCATTTGGTATTGCCTTTCCCATCACCAAAAATAACTAGTGTCTACTATCTAGTGATTCTCCCATCCTGCCCTCCCAACCCTGGTAGTAATCACGAAAGAATGTGTCTTTTTGTGTTTATATACATTCCTCACTTTTTATAACAGTGGGAACATACAATATTTGTCTTTTGGTGGTGATTGACTTATTTTACTCAGCATCACACTTCAATTCATTCATGTTATGTTTTTGTTCTCTTTAGTCTTTGTAATTGTCTAGTATTCCATTGTGACTATTATCACAGTTTATCCATTCACCCACTGATGGGCTTGAGTTGTTTCCATCTTTTTTGTTTCTGTGAGTACTGCTGTTAATGCACATTGGTGGACACCACTGTTCATTTCTTGACTGGATTATTCCAGTCTTTCCTTATCTCAACAGAGCAACCAGAGTAAACTGGTTACATTGTGAGCTCTTGTCATTCCTTTGCTCAAAACCCTCCAATGACTTCCCATCTCAGAGTAACCATGCAGATCTATTTAGACTCTCTTACGTCTAACCTTTTCTCCCACTACATTCTCTATCTCTCCACCCCTGAACATTTATTCTGCGCTAACTAGACTTTTTTGTTACTCTCAAATACTCCAGGTAGATTCTAACCTTAGAATTTTTTGCATTTATTGTTCCCTCTGCATTGGGTAAGCATTAGACAACCACAAAGTCAGTGGTTCAAATCCATCAGTGGCTCCACATGAGAAATATGAGGTTATCTGCTCCCATAAAGATTGATAGCTTCAGAAATCTTCTATAGCTTCACCGAGTCAGAATCGAATCAATGGCAGTGGTTTCGGTTTGGGGTTTGCCGCCCAGAATACTCTATCTTTAGGTAGCCTTACCTCTTTACTATTTTCTCAAATATCACCTCCTCAATGGGTCTTTCCTAGATTATCTGAACTAAAATTACACACCCCAAAACATCCCTATCTTCTGTATTGGATTTTTCTCTACTGAACTTACTATCATGTAAAATGTATTTATTCATTAGTCTGTTTGTAGTCTGACCACACACAGAAAACAGGATGCACACACTACTGTATCCCCAGTGCAGAAACCAATTTCTGGCACAGAGTATACACTCAAAGAATGAGTGATAAGTTGCTTATGTTTTGTAAAAGCTACATGTCTTTTATATTAAGAACATTAAACAATTTTCAGACCACATAGTAGAGAAAGTACTCCATTAAAAAAATATCTGTTTAACTTTATTTTAAGAGGTATTCAATAGGTCTTGTATTCAGTTAATTCCACACTATTTTTTAACCAATCACTTAATTAAAATAAGTCTAGTTGCAACAAATGACGAAAGCTAATTTCACATCAAGACTATGATGATGAAAAAAAAAAAAAGACTATGATGATGATTTGCCTTCTCCAAATATCCGTTCCCTCAGGTAGTCCATCTGAGCATCCTTTGTTGATAGAGCCATTGAGTTCCATTCAAAATGCGGAATCTATAAAATAAGTAATGTGGTTTGCATAAGAGGTTTTTGTTGTTGTCATTTTAATTATACAATTTTTAACTTAAAAAAAAGAACTTTCAAAATTGTTTTAAGAGAAAATGAAGGGAAATCAATACTGTCATTAGTAAACAACTGTTTTCTCAAAATTACCAGGTAGTCATAGATATTTTAATTAAATTATAATAAGACAGGTGAGGTTTGCTTTTCCTTTTATTAAAATCAGCTTTATTATTATTATTTTAAGGATCATTTTATTAGGGGCTCTTACAGCTCTTATAACACTCCCTACAACAATTGTATCAAGCGTATGTTGCCATCATTTTCTAAACATTTACTTCCTATTTGAGACCTTAGTATCGGCTCCTCTTTTTTCCCTCCCTCCTCCCAATGAATAAAAGTTTTAAAGAAACAGAAACAAAAAACACAGGGGAAGACGTACTTATAAGAAAGTTGTTGGAACTCTACTAAATTAGTTCACAATCCTCTTTAGAAGCCACGTGGGTCACATCCCTGGCATTGCCCCAACTACCTTTTCTGGCTCACAGCTCTTTTTAACCTTTGGTTTCTACAATACCAGCCATGAACATTTTCCCAAGGTGACCTAACACCTTCTACTGTAGCATTTTCCTCTGAGAACAATGCTTATGTCCATAATACCCCTTCCCTAGCACAGGAGATCAGCAAATACCAAGAGGTAAAAAAGGAATAGGAAATATTTTTTATTAAATGCTTTTATTGGGGGCTCTGACAGCTCTTATCACAATCCATACATTCATCCATTGTGTCAAGGACATTTGTACATGTTGCCATCATCATTTTCAAAGCATTTTCTTTCTACTTGAGCCCTTGATATCAGCTCCTAATTTTTTTCCCTCCCTCCCTCATGAACCTTGATAAGTTATAAATTATTATTTTCATATGTTATATCATCTGCTGTCTCCCTTCACCCACTCTTCTGTTGTTCGTCCCTCTGGGAGGGGGTTATATGTTGATCCTTGTAATCGATTCCCCTTTTCTCTCCCCACCTTCCCCTTACCCTCCTGGTATCTCTATTCTCATTATTGGTCCTGAGGGGTATATCTGCCCTGATTCCCTGTGTTGCGGGCCCTTATCTGAAGCAGTGTATATGTTCTGGTCTAGCTGGATTTGTAAGGTAGAATTGGGGTCATGATAGGTGGGGTGGGGGGAGAGCATTAAAGAACTAGAGGAAAGTTGTATGTTTCATCAGTGCTACACTGCACACACTGACTGGCTCATCTCTTTCTTGTGACCCTTCTGTAAGGGGATGTCCAATTGTCCACAGATGGGCTTTGGGTCTCCACTCCAGCCCCCACCACACCCCCAGGGAATTTTTTTTTTTTTCAGCAAATAATTTTTTATCATTATTTTACCACACATTAAGAAGGTAATTCTGGAACTTTTTTCATACTTAAAATATAGCCTGTGCCCATTTGTTATTTTTAAAAAGAGGATGTATGACGAGCAGTCCTCCGTACCTGAATTACATGATAACCCAAAATTTCCAAGTGTCGTATTTTCATGGCAGATATTCCCTTTAAGTGATGGATGTTTCTACAAAAAACTCTTGAATCCAAAAACTCCAGAGCAATCCTACATAAAATGTAAATGAAAATTATTTAAAATCACAATGAAATACTGAACAATTAAAAAGCTTTCTGGAACAAGATACATCCTTACAAACGTACAAAATTCAAAGAAATATAAATGAGTACACTTTTTTTTCCTTACCTTAAGAAACTAGTCGGGGGTGGGGGAAAAAAAAGAAACTAGTCATTGATGACCTAGTAAACCAAGTAAAATTTATAGCAAATTATAGTAAATCTCTTCACACTTTCAACCATTTGTTTCTTAGGCCAACATATTTATTATGCCCCTACTCTACATAAGTCCTTATACAGGAAAAAAACGATAGTGACATAATTGAACTCTACCAGAGAATATGTAATATGTAAGGAAGTAATTAGGAGCCCTGGTGGCATAGTGGGCTCTGATCTCAAGGTCAGCAGTTCAGAACCAGCAGCAGCTCCCCAGGAGATAAAGTTTTCTACTCCCATAGAAAGTTACAGTCTGGCAAACCCTCAGAGGCAGTTCTGCCCTGTCCGATAGGGTCGCTTGAGTGGGAATCGAGTCGAAGGCAGTGAGAACTGAGTAATTATAAGGCAATGTAAAAAGTGGCAAAGGGAAGGGGAGGGGAACTGGGCACAAACAATGAAGACGGGAGCACTAGAACTGACTGTGATGATGCAAATACAACTCTTTTAAAAGGATTAAACTGTGGAAGGGTATGCTATGTGAATATTATATCAAGAAAACTACGAGGAATAAAAACACTAAACGACCAAAGGTTACCATAGGTGAAGGAGGAAGAGTTATTGTTTATGGGGTACTGAGTTTATGTTAATGGTGGTGGAATTATTTGGGAAAGGTTATCAAGAATGGTTGTATAACAGGAAGAGTATAATTAATGACACTGAATTTTATGTAGAAGTTGTTGAATTGGAGAATGTTTTGTGGTGTATATCTTTGCCACAATTTTTTAAATTATGAGTAACAATGAGTACAAGAAAGAAGAAAATGTTCTAAAATTGATTGTGGTAGTGATTGTACAACTCTTCTTGATATGACTGAACTATTGAATTGTATGATATGTGGATGAAGTGCCAAAAAACTGTTAAAAACAGTGGCAAAGAGCTATCAGAAAAATAAAGAATGGAACTGCAAAGAAGACACACTTTCTAACTTAGGGACAACTGGCGGGGTCAGCACTTTAATTGGACTGCTCGGCGTTGACCAGAGAAGGAAGGACATTCCTGCCCGGTAGGAGCCACCGGAAAAGCACTGGGAGGGAAGAGAATGCTTGATAAGTAAGGGGCTGATTCTACTCTAATTAATCCTTGTTAATGAGTACATTAATTTGTGCCCAATTTAACCCAGAGGAAGCAAAATCTAAAACTAAGACACAATTACCTTTCAGCTCCTGGTGGTAGCCTTGATCCAGCTATTTGAATATTGGATTTCCAATGGACATCTGGCACTTTCCACCAAATTGTGTTTTGGCTTTCATAAGGCAGAGGTTTTTTCCTTTTATCTAATATACACTCAAAATCTATGGAGGCACACAAGTTGATGATATGAATAGGTAAACACAACAGGTAAAAGTGTTTTGCTTTGTTTTTAATCATTTTATTGGGAGATCCTACAACTCATCACAATCCATACATACATCCATTGTGCAAGTACATTTGTACTTTTGTTGCCATCATCATTTTCAAAACATTTGCTTTCTACTTGAGCCCTTGGTATCAGCTCATTTTCCCCCTCCCTCCCCCTCCCTCCCACCCCTCATGAACCCTTGATAATTTAGAAATTATTATTTTGTCATATCTTACA